TGCCAGGAGCCTCTTTGGGAATCTAGAGAAGTCTTGGACTCCTCAGAAAAGTAGTTTTCAAATGTAATTTTAAAGAACACTGTAGGGAGAGCCAGGCATGGTGGCACACACCTGTAATCCTAGCGCTTTGGGGGGCTGAGTTAGGAGGGTCCCAAGTTTGGGTCCAGCCTGGCCAATTCAGCAACTTAGTAAGACTTTTCCAAAAAGAAAAAGCGAGAAAGAAGGGGAAGGAAGGAAGGAAGAATACTGTAGGATTACGAAAGAAATGAATCTATTAAAATACAAGTATCAAAATATATGATATAAAAATAATACATATGTGCCTCATTAATGTAAGTATCAAGGTACAGTAGCAAATCTAATAACTACCCTAATTCTGCAGCAGTGATGAGTATAAGCAATCTCAAGCTATCTACAATGACTAAGATGAGATGTGCACATACCTATGATTTCCATTGATGGTCAAGTCTCTGGTGTTACTACGTATAAGACATCGGGAAATCCCAGTAAGTACCCAGTGATTCAAGCAGGATTGGCCTTTGAGCTTGGAATTGAGATAATTACGTGATCAGTTTCCAAAGTGACTCAGGTTCTGAAGGGGCCTAAGACCTCGGAGCAGTGTGACACTGGACTGGGGTGGTGGGTGGGGGTAAAACCCAACTGACTTACGTGCATCCTAGAGGCAGAAAAGCTCCGTGAGCTGCAATGACATTCAGGGATTCAACAGAATTATCTGCTGAGAACCAGGAACACAGTGGGTGCTTTACTTCCTCTGCAATGTCAGATATTCAAAACTAATCCTAAAACTCCTGAGATCAGTGAGAAACAAAATTGCATTAATTCAAGAAGAAGCTAACCATCTTGACTGGACTGGCTTTCAGGACAGAGACCTACCTTCTGTACCTAGCCATGCCACTGGCTCTCAGTAATCTTGGGTGCCTCACCTGTGTGTGTGTGCATGTGTGTGCACTCGTGCACGTGCATGCCAACATTTTCACAAACTTCATTTCTTATAACACCTTTAGATTTACAGAAAATAAGGAGGAGAGCCCAGAGAGTTCCCATATACCTTGCATATTAGTTCCCCACTATTAACATCTTACATTAACCAATATTGATGCATTAGAATTAAAATCCATACTCAAATGCCCGTAGTTGGCACTGAAGGTCCTTTTCTGCTCCAGGGTCACCATATTATATTCAGTCACCCTGTCTCCTAAGGTCCCCTTGATTGTGACGATTTCCCAGATTCCCCTTGTGTTTGACGATCTTGACAGCTTCAAGGCGACTGGGCAGGTATTCTACAGAGTGTCCCTCAGCGGGGATCTATCTGTTGCTTCTCTGATGATTACACCGGAGGTCAGGGGATCATCATGGCAAACATGGGTGCCATCAACTTGCGGTGTTACCGTTGACCTTTGTCACCGGGCTGAGGTGGTGTTAGGTTGCTTCATAGTAAGGTCACACACACCCCCGCCACTTTCTACATTTCTGTATTTAATTCAGAAGAGAAGGTAATTCCTGTCGCTGTGACAGTCTAGTCCTTTACAGAAGCACACGTTCAGAAGAGGTGCGGGACACCGGTCTCTTGTCTGCATATCCAAGCACAGGGGCTTTCTGGCCAGCCTGCTTCTAAGGTAAAAATGCCAGGAGTCTCCACGGGGCCAGAATGCTGAACAGTTGATAACTGAGGTTCTATGGCTCAACTGGTCAGCAAATCTGTGGTGTGTACGGGCCACATCCAAGCTGCTTCGATGTGTGTTTGACTCCAAGGCACGAACACCACCTTAAGTCGTTGCTGGGTGGAAGTGGTCAGTAAGTAAATAAATGCATGGGAAGAGACAAGTGACTGGAGAGAACACAGGGCAGAGAGCACAGTGGGAGTGGATGCAGACAGATGTGGTGGGTGGAAGCACAACTTTCAGATGCCTAAGATGGCTGTTGACACGCTAGGCCCACTGAATGAAGGCACGCAACTCTAGACAAGCCACTCTGCTTTGCTAAACCTTGGTCTCCTTAACTGTACGATGGAGATAATCATGCTATTAAAAATTGTACAAATCAAATAATATATAAAAAACACCTGGCACGTAGTAGGTCCTTAGCACACGACAGCTGTCGTTAGTGGAGAGGGAGTAATTACCTGACCGCCCCTTTGAGCTGCTGTCAGTTGGATGAGGTCTGTCTTAGAAAGGCCTCCTGCTGCTGGCACTGACTCTGGGATGTGCACACTGCACACCCTGAATCTCCCTCCTCTCCCCACCTTCCTTGTCCAGCTCCTTCTCCCTTGACTTTCCTGCCTCTCTCCGGTCCCCTTACATTGCTGGCGCCTCCCTGCTGTCCCCACGGCTGGGCCCCTTGCTCCTCTGGCGTTTCTGAGGTGGCAGAGCTGCTCACATGGAGAAGAACCACTTCTCCCCAGGTGGGCAGCAGAGCCATGAGCTGGCAGGCGGGCAGGAAGTGCGTCTGCATGCCGCGGGACGTGGGTTCCGTTTGTTTTGTTTTAAGTGGTTGCTTTGCCGATCCTATTACTGTAAAGGGTAATGATATTTGGGAATAAAAGCCTATGAATAAGTAATGATAATAGATTTAAGAACCAGAGCTGTGGGACAGAAAGCTCGAGTTAAAAACAGTCTGTCACTTCCAACTCTGCCTACTAAGCCTTTGCCTTGATGGAAAGACCGACGAATGGTGCCAACACAGCCTGCTGGTCCTTCACGGCCAAGCGAGCTGTGGTCTGGAGCAAAGTGACTTCTCCACTGCGGTCAGCACCTCTCCTGGCTTCTTCCACGCAGGCCATGACACCCCATAATCATCACCAAAGCCAAGGAACCAGAGTAAAGTGTAGAATTTATTAATACAAGAATGGAAACTGCACAGAACATGTGAGCTCGCTGTTGAGAGCTTCATGTCCCTTGAGATGATTTTTCTGCCAAGGAGTAGACATTGTCATGTGCGATGCTATGACAGCAGGTCACTCAGTGACTCAAAGAAGGCCCAGGAGCAAAGTGGATCTGGAAGGAAATAGGGGACGAGCCTGCAGCTCAGGATGAGGATTCAAACCCTAGCATCCAAGGCATCACACGTCATTATGTAGAAAACTGGTCACACTTAAGTCCTGCAGCCTCGGCACAGTGCTGCCAAACGGAGACCCACAGAACTGAGAGAGAGCAAACAACTGTGCAAGGGAGCGCTCTACCCTCCAGGCCAGGAAGCCCAGATCCTCAGGACTGCAAACCAAGATGTAACCACCGATGCCCACCCTGGCCTTGGATTGCTGGTTTCAGTGGCTGGGGTCACAGGCTAAGACCTCCTCCAGTTCTGCCACTGCACAGGCTCCTCACCCCTCCTGCTTCCCCTCAGACACTGGAGTCTGCTAGGGCAGAACAGCACGAACGGGAAGCACCCATCAAATGCACAGGAACATTCACTTCACTCGCAAGCCTCTCTCTGCCATTACCTTAGAAAGGCTTCCTTGTTAGTCCTACCATTAAACAATTAAACTGTCAGAGACGAATCCTGAGCGTCTATGCGGAGCTCGCCTGTGTGTGCAGGGTGTGTAATTTCCCACTCAGGTGATGTCTGCTGCAGCTTCTTTCTCTCTCTCTCTCTCTCTCTCCTCTCTCCTTCTCTCCATCTCCATTTTTCCACCCCAATTCCATGCTTTTCCTTGGGATTGTGGGAAATAAATATAAGAGCATCTTCCTAATGGCATAAGCGCTTCTTGTTATAAACTTTGATATGCCCCCACATCTTAGACTCCTCTGGAGACAGGGATACAAAGAACTGCCAACAGCGACGTCTCCTGGTTACCCACCCCACCCCCACGTGCCAGAACCTGATTCCTCAGTTTCCTTTGGCTGACTCTACCTATTGACACCGTCAGTCCATTCTCGCTGTGCTGTATGTGTGCACTGATTTGCTTATCCTAGGTCTCTGCTGTGACATACTCAGCCTATGCAGTCAAACATGGCTGTGAAAAGTGGACACATCTCACTCAAACTCAGTAGTCATGATTTCAGCAAAGAAAGAGCATATTTCTTAATGTATCTAAGTATTAAATATTATTGAAGTATTTAATTAAATTTCATATTAGTATTCATATTGAATACATATAATTTAGACCACACTTAAAATCTCTATATTTTATATAGTTCAAATTATGGCTTAATTGAAATATATTTTTATTAACTACCAAAAATCTTCTTTGAGGCTTTAGTCTTGTAAAAAAGCTAAAAGCAGAAGTAGGCTAGCTATACATTAAGGTGTGAAGACTTCTAGAAATCGCATATGTAGGAGGTGAGGGAGAGCTCTCAAAACGCTGCTGATATCTACAAATCCTCCGGTTCCTGAAAGAACTGGGGATTAATTCTCTGTGCCAGTGCAGCTATTAGTCTCTTCACACATTGATGACAGACTCAGCATCACCTGGGAGAGAAGGAGATACAGCTCCTCCTCTGTTAGCCTTGAGCCTCCCGAAATGTCTGGCCTTCCTGTTTTCTAACAATGCAGGGATGAAGCACAGAAAAAGAAAAGGGCTTTGAATAAAATTGTGAGTAGCTGCAGTTTCTTCAGAGGTGGCCCCTTTTTCTCCCCGGACAACGAAGTTATGATCTTGGAAGGGAGCCCCTGCTGTTGCTCGGCGAGGGTCCTACCGAGGCCTGCGCTGCCCACTGTGGACCCCACCCCACCGTGCCTCCTCTCCCCAGCTGCACCAACATCTGTCTGCATATAAACTGTAAAACTACAGAGGCCCTTCTCCCCAGGGAAAGGCAGTGGGTAGAGAGTGGAAAATCCCCCAGGAAGCAAAAGGAACAAAAAGGCAATATTCCCATAAAATATTCATGTCACCACTTTTCTTATTTACTTATTATCTTAGTTCATTATGTAAAGGGATTTACACTCACTTTACCTCCAATTTGTGTGTGTGAGCACACACACACACACACACACAATCACCTTTTGCTCAAATAACTGTTCTTTCCTCTTCTGTGCTCCAGACACAGGCACTGGCGTCTTGTCTTCCCTAATATGAAGATCCTGAGCTCAGAGGTGGCTTTTGTCATCCGTGTCCCTGGCCCGGCCGTTCTGCTCTCGTCTGCATGTGTGACCCGCGAGTATTGTCCCCGCACCTGACAGGCTTCCCCCCTCCTCCCTCCGGCTGTCCAGGCCCCCGAAATGCCATGCCTAACTCTGGGCACGCTCTCCCGAGGTCGTGAGAGGTCGGTGTTGGTGGACTCCTGCTTACCGCGCCCTTTTGGATAACCCGACATTCATAGCCTTAAACGAATTTCAACGGGACTTCTAAGAAAAGTTACCAGTCACGTTGGAAGAGCTTTTCTCTGCATGTAATTGGTATGTTTGCTGTAAACCACTCCCACCTCATCACGAATGCAGGGCCCCTAAAGTAGTGCCTGGAGCAAGGGGCCATATATGATATGAGAGCGCTATTCTGAAACAATACTTTGGACCTGTGTTACATCTGAAAACAACTCGTTTGTTATAAATGAATTTGATTAAAGCTCTCGTAGCATTATGATACTCCTATTAAAATACAAGTAGAGGAGAGAGATAACACTCCAAGCTCAGTATCAATGACTTACATCTTTTCAGGGATTGTTTCGGGATTATCTGATGAAACAAGTCGCCTTCTACTGGCACTGGCGCCTAAGTAAACTCCGCTGCTCCACAAGCACCTTACTAGTCTGTGCTGGGCTCCCCGGACAGAGGAAGGCCTGCCTGCTACACAGGCTCCACCCCCTTCCGCCTCCCTTCCAGTCAAAGCCAGCCGGGTCTTTGTACACTGTTGAATACAAATATCCCTGAGAGAGTCCACACATTAAAGCCAAAATGTCATTTTCACCTTTGAATAAATGACCGGATTCTTTAAGGTGCTAACCTAATCTTCCACTCTTTGTTTCTCTGAAAATATCTTCAATCATTTCATCAAGTCCGAAGACTTCAACCTCAGTGTGAACAGAATCTTTCTTCCCTTTCTCTCTCTGTCTCTTCCTGCAGTGGTATCAAACCCAGGACCTTCAGCATGCAACACAAACACTGCCACTGCTACATTCCCAGCCCTGAAATACTTCTAATTTCTATGATTTGCTCTCATACACTATCTCAGCTAGACTAGAACACCTGGCTGTCTAGTGGACATCTCCTCTGTCCTGCGAATACCTCAAACTCAGCCTACCCAGAGTCAACACACTGTACTCCTTCCAAGCCTGTTTCTCCCCGCTTGTTCAGGGTTCACCTAGCCACACTGTCTCTCAACCTGAGCATCTTCCCCTCCTTCTTCCCCTCAGTCTGTGACTAAGCCCAAAGATCCCAGCCCTGCACACCTACCCTGTGATGCAGAACGTTCCTCTCCAGCTGCCCTGCTAGTATTCCCAGCACTGCTCCCACGGGGCGCTACATGGCCCAAAGCTTGGCTTTGACTTGTCCCTCTCCAGCTCAAAAACCCTAAATGCACATTTTGCTTATTGAATTCAAACCAACCTCTTGTTTTTCATGTATATTACATGACATCATCTTTCTTCTGCTTCCTCATACCCTCTAGTAAAACTGAGAACTCTTCCCCAAAATGCACTTTGCTTTCCACCCTGGTTGTTTCTGCCACTTGAAATACTCTTTGCTCCTTCCCCGTTTCTGCCTATTGCGAGATACCTGTCTTCAAGGTCAACTTCAGATTTCACATCCTGGAGCCACTCTGGGTCCCCACTGGGATGTGACTGCCCGCCATAGCCTCCCCTGGTGGCCAGTGTGCCCTAAGATTAAAGAGCACACTGCCTCTGAGCTCCCCTTGCTGCTCCCACGTGGACTCCCCCCCACGTCGAGGCAGTGTCGCTGGCTTCCGCTCGCCCGCAGAGCCTCGCTCAATGCCCGCAGGTCCAAGGCTCGTGATTATTGGGGTGGTTCCGAGGGTGCCGGGCCGAGCCTGAAGATGCCCTTTCGCCCAATCCCTTTCTCCTCTGTGGATCAGAGCCAAGCAGTCTGTTTGATTAAGACGGTAGACCCTGCACGCTCAGCCCCGGGAGACAGCCACAGTGTGGAGCCTTGCTCCTTTTCTTCGCGTGCCTCATCGCGAGACAATTGCGTCCAGCCTAGGCCACAGGGGCCGCGTGGCACGAGTTACCCTGCCTTCCCCCACTACAAATGAAGAGTGCAGACGCCAGGTGGCCAAGAGCGCTTCAGGCTGTGGTCCCACCTGGTCCCAGCTATAAAGCATAATTTTGCCTTCTTTCTTATTATTTTCCAATTTTCTTCATCTCCCGTCGCTCTCCCCGGCTTCAGAGCCTACGCTATGGGGTCGAGGCATGAGTGAATTTTGAAGAATGAGACAGTGGTGAAGTTCCTAGCTGCTGCAAGCGTGCGTGGCTTTGGCAAGAAGTGACCCTGCAGGGTCCAGGGAAAGTACTGGACACGCTGTAATCTTGTCTCAGTGTGTAGGACAGGGCTCTGGGCGGTGAGGAGCTCTGTGGGGAAGGGGAGAGGCACCAGCACCCCTTGATGGCGCGAAGGCAGGCAGGGCAGCAGAAAGCCACTGGTGCAGGGGTTGGGGGACTGGAACACAGCCCACAGGCGAGTATGTTAGAACAGCAAACGAGTTAGCGGTACACTGGACTGACCCTCCCCCCCACACACACCAGAGTGGAGTAGCTCTGGTTTAGCCTTGTTTGGGCTGCTGTAAAAGGGGAAACTGTCAATCAGTTGTTGTCAATTAATTAACATATATTTACTGAGTGTTTGGTGTGCTAGGCACTGCTGGAGATGATGGATGCGGGGTAAATAAAAAATAATGGGCCTTACTTTCTAGTAGGAGAAGAGACGTGATAAGCAGGATCTATACATAAATGCAGAGCTCATGGACCAGTCTCCTGGCTAAAAATACAGCAGGATCTAGAGGCAAAGTATCAGAGCTGTAAGCAGAACAGTTAGGCCTTGTGTGGTGGATTAACTACTGGGCCCCTTGGGACGCCCAGCTGAACTGAGTCAGCGTGGTTTGGGCGTGGAGGATCCACCTGAGGCTTATTGCCAACGGCACATAAAGAGAACTGGAGGGAAGAGCGTGGGCTGTTGAGTTTCTAGGAGAAGCTTGTTGCGGATGGTTTTCCCGATTCAAACTCAGCTGTTCTCATGGGAGGTGGAGCTGGGGCCTCGCTGTTGCTGGGAATGGCTGCTGTTCTCCTCAGGAGAGCTCTGGTCTTCACCGTGAGCATCACTTTCTGGCTGCAATCCCTCAGCCTGGTGGCACAGAGCCTTCAGCCCTTGGCACAGGCTTTCCGGCTTCCACCACCGGCCTTTGGGCCTTCTGGGTGCAGAGCCTCAATACGGACAAGCACGAGACATCGCCTCGGACTCCAGGCCTTCAGCCGGACTTGTGTGGAACACTGCTGTGGGATCCAGGTCCTCGGCTGGATTCTTTAGGCCTCTAGTGTGTGACTAATCTATTGCACTCCTCTGTATTGACTTTTTGGGTAAATATAGAATAATTCTATAAGTTGTGACCCGTATTAAATGTATTCTCTTGCCAAAACACTGACTGCAACACCTTGTTAAAGTGATATTTGAGCAAAGATGTGGGAGAGATGAGAATTGATCTGTACAGGCATTGGGGCAAACAGCATTCCAGACAGAGGAAGACCTAGTGCAAATGTCCTGAGGTGAGCAAGGATGGGTATGTGGGAAGAACAGAGGAGGCTAGAGGGGCTGGAATGGTGGGAGGCAGAGTGAGGTCACAGAAAGAGACTTCCAGCCTTGCAGCCCATTGCGAAGTTTTAGGTTTTAAGTGAAACGGGGCCCTCGGGGAGTCTTGGCGCCAACACCAGTGGCGGTTGAGACAAGGCTGCACTGTTAGAGAGGGGCAAAGGCAGGAGCGGGAGACCCAGGCAAGAGACAGGGACAAGGGCTGGGAGCAGGGCGGTAGCAGCAACGCTGAGGGGACCAGAATTTAGAGAAACGAGAGAGGTAATGTCTCGAAGGATCTCCGATGTGTTAGATCAAGGGGACGAAGAAAACAAGTCGAGGATGATTCCAAAGTCTTTGGACAACTAGAGAACTAGAGACAGTGCTTTGTTAGTGGAAGCTATCGCGGTGGCACAGACTGTGGGAGCAGGGAGGACAGGGTTGAGCCCTGATCTATGAAGCATGCGTGGTCTAGTAGACATCCAGAGGGAGCGGGGACCAGGGGAGTCTGGGCGGGATCTGTCAGGACACTGAGCACCGAGACAGCCAAGAAGTGAGACAAGATCCGCAGGGAGCAGATCTACAGGAGAGACGCTCAAGGGCTGAGGCCCCTAGAGGAAGCAGAGGAGACAGGAGGACCAGTCAGGAGGGCGGGTGGCCCCTAACTCATGATCGAAGGCGTCCATCGAAAGGGGAAGGGATGTGCAACTGGCTGGAAGGCGGCTGCAGGCCAAGGGGGATGAGGAGCGAGAGCTGACCTTTAGATCCCGCAGCGAGCTGATCAGTGACACTGACAGGAGCAGCCTGAGCGAGGGCTAGGGTCAGGAAGTCTGGCTGCAGAAGGTTTGGGACCGAGAGAAGAGAGACTGGAGAAATTGCTTAGAGACGCTTCCATATGCTCGAAAATGGTTGTAGTTTTTAAAAAGCCATAAATTCAGGCTTTTTATTAATTACATAGGTATTGTGTCCACAGCAATCTGAATAAATCAGATTTTACTTGTGAAATCCCCATTTCAAGTGAGAAAAAGGTTTTGTGAAATGGGTTTCAGCCATTGTAAGTCTGGCACTGTTAACTGAAGAAAAACAATGACTGCCTTCCATGAATCTGCAGCCCAAAGTATTTTTATAGTCCAGACTACTTCTGTCTTGGCACCTCACACACACATATAAGCACGCATCCAACAACGACATCACAGCGCCCAGCCCAATATTGTCACTCATAAACATCGCGTATTGCAAACGCTTCGTTATTGATTCACAGTTAGCTCTTTTTGCATGACAGAGCCACCACTTACCTTAACATGTTACATGATGTTTCTCATTCCACAGACACTCGACTGCCTTTTCTGCTTGTGCACACAGAGGCATGCTGTCTTCTGATAAAACATTAGCTTGGGATTAAAAGTAGGCAGGAAGCCATGCTAACCTAAAATAGCCCCACAGCACAGCCGGGCTCCTACTTAGCAGTGCAAAGGTGCCGTGAAGTGCAGTGATTTGGTTCCGACGCCATCAAAGCCAGGCGGCCTCTCCACCCAGGGGCCAGGCCAGCTTCCCAGAAGGCTGGCTTCTCAGACAGAGGCCCAGAGATGCGAGTGCAGCCCATGCTGATTCTTTGTCTGTGTCATTTCTCAATTTTATGCATAATTTGCTCCTTTTGGTTTTATGTATTTTGACACGGCCAAGTGTGTGGGGGATTTCCCCACAGTCCTTTCAATGCTGTAAAACTTTAATATAGGGAGATGAAAATAATAAGCCATGCCTCCAAGTCCTGACATTTAGTTCTTGGAGTTAGAAAATAACCAGTTTTAGATACTGATTTAGATTTTCAGTACTTGTGCTGCTTTAAATGCCCTTGTGCCTTTCCTCACCTTCCTCCCCCCAAGTGGAAATTATATTCTCTCTTAACTTGGACGTGTGACTCTCATTGATGGCAAAACTCTGGCATCTTCACAGATCTTACAGCGTTGTCATAGTGGCCTACGTGGTGCATGAGCCAATGTGATTTAACATGGTTCAGGATAAAGCCAAGGCAGACGCTCAATTCCCAATTTTTAAGCATGCAACCCTGGAATGTCTTTTGGAAAAAATGAAATAAAACTCCTGGTAGTCTGTTGGGTTAGTCAGTTTTCAGCATAATTGCCTTCTCTCAGCTTCCTAATACCCTTAAAACCTCGGAGTGTCTTTAATGTACAAAGTTCCACAAAACACCTTCAAAACAGATTAGTTCTAATTATGCTTAATATTTATTTGCTGCCTTATTAAATAAACCACATTTGCCTTTATTTTTAAAAAAAGGAAATTCACTTAACTATATGTCACCCAAATTTTAAGTGTGCAAATGAAATGGAAAGCATTTATTACACAAATTTAATTACAATTCTAAGAAATAAACATGCAAATTAGATAGAGTTCAATTCGCACATGCTAATCCTCCTTGATCTCGCTCCTTTCCTGCCTATTGGGGTCTGCCTGTCCTGGGTTCCTGGGGAGCTGCTGGAGGTCTGGCTTCTCACAGTGGGAGGAGCAATGTTGGATGTACACAGCTGGCCCCAGTACCAGCACCAGCGCCTTTGTAACTCTGGGGCAGGTGCCTCCCCGAGGCCTCTGCCTGCCTCCATTACACTAGAAACCACCGTGTGGGCCGTGGGGGGACCCGGGCAGAGGGCGTGAGTCTGTGTCTCAAAAACCAGCTCCAGTGGAGTCCAACACAGGAGAAACCACCACTGCAAGACAATGCGATGCTAGGCTTAAATTACAGCCTGGGCCGGAGCCAGCCTCCGCCCCCCGTGGCCACTTCCTGGAGGTCTCCGGGCTCCCGCGACCCAGGGACCCGCGGCAGAGGAGCTCGCCTTCCCGAGGCGCGGCCACGGCCGGCGGCGGCCGGCAGAGCGCTCGGTCCTGCGCAGACATCTGTTTCCCGTCTGCGTTCGCGTGGTGGAGAGGAAAGTCTCTTGCACAGGGTGGGAAAGGCAGGATTTTTTTAAATCTCGAGCACGCAACAACGAAACTGAGCCAAATAAAAAAGACAAGACACCTCGGCAGCTGCGGCGTGGATGCTTTATTCAGAGGAGCGGCCGGGCGGGGCGGAGCGCAGGGTCTCTGCGGTCGGTGGGGCCGCG